GAGCAGAACTCAGCGTACAACTTAAGAGGATCAGTACTATGCAAATATACCTTTTCATTTCAACTGAGACGAGCACTAATCTATTCCAGGTTCGTTCGACAACTGGCCCACGCTGGTAACAAAATCGGAATAAATACGAAATATATTTACCTTTTCATCGCTTAACTGATAAGCATTTATTTACTTTTTTTTATAGCCACTTCACGCATGACAAAATAATACACCTAAAAAAAATCCACTTATAAAACATTGGAATCAGTTGATTTATTAATTTACAAAAACTGTATAAGCTACAATTTTATGAATAAATATTATATGTGAAATTATCTAAATCGAATATATTAATTATTAATAAATATATTGTTTTGATAAATTGGAAATTTTTAAAGTAATAAAATAACAAGTAAGAAAGCTCGCGATTGCCCGACTACGAGATCCCCTGAACCCTTCTAAGAATTGATATTTCAATAATTATTCGATAACAAAATAACGGGGGTTATCGATATTTAAAACAAAACTCGATATACGCGTGCTATACACGGCACTAGGACAAACATTTGTAACTCTTATCTCTAACTCTTATATCTTCTGAGATCGACGCGTTCAAACATAAGGACAGACGGACAATAAAATTTCCCGATCCGTCCACTAGGGGCGTGGAAAATGCATTTTCCGATATACCATAAATCATATTAGTTGAAGAGCTAGAAAGCTGAAATTTGGAATATACATAGATCCGCGTCGACCACTTCAGATCACGAACTATGGCGGATATATCTACGCCCATTGGGTGCGTGGTAAATCGATAAAACAGTATTTCCAAGAGTTTTACAGCTAGAACGCTGAAATTTGCACGTAAGCTAATGTTATGATTATATAAAGTCTAATGACAACAATATATTTATACGCTCATTAAGGGCGTGGCAAATCGGAACTGAAGATATAGTGATTATTTAAATTCTGCTATATTTTTGACACTATTGATGCTACAGACCTGAAATTTTATATATATACTCGGGCTAACCACCCAAGATCAAAGAGATATATTTCCGCCCACAGGGGCGTGGCAAACCGCAAACGTTTATATCTCCAAAGTACAATAGCCAGAAGCTTCAAATATGGATAGTTGAGTTACTGGTAGCCTCCTCTATCGATGCCCCAAAAATAATTTTTACGCCTGTCTATGGGCGTGATAATAATTTTTACGCCTGTCTATGGGCGTGATAATAATTTTTACGCCTGTCTATGGGCGTGATATATAAATAAATCCCTGTAATTTTCACATTTTTGGAGCGTAAGAATTTAAATTTTGTAGTTAGGGTACCGTTAGCTCGTTCTAAGAACTGACCGAAAATGTTTACGCCCTGTAGGTCCGTAGCAAATAGGGAAAAACTGAATTCTCTACAGTAACTGAACCTAGCTACTAAATTGCTGATGGGGTGTGAGTGAGTATTCCGCAGTCGGTAACGCCCGACTGCAACGTTATTACTTGTTTATCTTGTCTATAAATAACAATATTATACGTCATTGGGCGTCAAAACAATTAAGTACGCTCTAATAGGGGGTGCCCAATCAGGAAATACATTAGACCACGACCGATCTGAGATTATACTATATAATACAATAAATATATGCATACCTTAATAGAAATACAAAACCCAGGGAGTTGCACTTGTTACTCTTGGCATACTGCTTCCCCTCGCATAAACGAAGTCGCAGGGCTGTATCAAAGCACCGCCTCACTTTGAAAAAGCAATTTCGTCGCAGTCGTTAATCGAAAGGTCGAAATATGCCCCAGTTTTGCGTCGATCCTCACTAAAATATGATTAAGCACTGCGGAAGATAGCCAGAGAACACTATTCCCGATCTGAAACAATGGATAAATAGAAAACACGGAAAGAGACGAAAGCTAAGATGGGAAAAGTGTCTTATTCCAAGCTGACAAGGCTGACCTGGCTCGCATAGTTAACTTATCTGAGCAGACCTATAATGTTATCTAATTTCATGGGAAACGAAAATTAATAAATAATTATTACCTTTATCAATATAAATGATATTTGCTCGGTTCTTGAAATTTGATAGAACAATAATAGTAGATTTGTTGATATTGCGGTATTTGAATTAGTCACGCCGAAGCCAGAGCAGTTTTTGACTAAATTTTTATACCCTGAACCCATTGAAAATGGGAAATCAGGGTATGATAGTTCTGTGAAAAAGTATTTAACAGGCAGAAGGAATCATCGCAGACCCTATAAAGTATATATATTCTTGATCAGGTCGACGAGCTGAGTTTCAATTGTTATTTTCAATTGTATACTTATTCTAATCTCTAATCAATAAATAAAATTATACGTTACAAAACAAGTATTTCCTGATATCTATTATGGGACTTGAAGTGAAACAACTCAGTTATTTTTACTGTGCTTTGTATTTAAGTGAATAATAAAGCTATAGCAAAAGAACGCTACTGCCGATTAGCATTGCAATGACAGCGATCAACTCAACGTAACAAGTGGCCAAGGTACAGTGATTCCTCGTTGCAGGACTCAGCGGTGGGCCTGCCCGAGGAGACGCGCAAAAATTGTCACCGTCAGAGACAGAGGCAGCAGGCGGCCAGAATTGGACACGCTGCTAGCTGTGCTCCTTTAAGTCACGAGGGAGCTGTAGGTGGGGGAGACATTGAAGGCCCCAGCCGTGTCTGCTGCTGTCACTGACGGAAACTGAAGTGCGGACAAAGCAAAGTCTTTGACGCGGCCAAGACCGGGCGCATGTCCTCAGCACTTCATGGGATGCGCTTAAAAGCGGACAGCATTCATATTTCCTCACTTAATGGGAGCCGTCAGATACATTTTCTGTTGTTCGCTGCTGCTTCAGTCAGCTGCATATTGAATACAAAATTGTAAGGTTCGATGATTAGATTAAAAACGGAAAGCCCCGATAGTGAATGACTCATTAAAAACAGCCAAAGGCTAATTTACTAGGTAATCATACCAGTCGAGTGTTCTCT